CTGCTGATAAGGTGCACCTGGCCAGCAACAGGCTTGCGAAGGGCCTGGCTGGTTGCACCTCATCAGCAGGAGGAAGAAGACACTGAAGTAGACATTGGAGGCGACAGGGGCAGACAATTGCAGGGCGGCAGGGATGGCAGAATACAGGGCAGCGGGATGGCAGGGGCAGTGGAGTGCAGAGCAGAGCAGCAGGGGCAGCAAAGTGCAGGGTGGCAGGGGCAGCGGAGTTCAGGGTGGCTTAAAGGGCAGAGATTGGGGAGAGATAGGTGGGTGGGGGAGGTTGAAGTGCACCCTGTGGTCATAAATGCGAGTGGGCTGCCAAGCACCCATTTCTGATCATGTGACCGTGGGGGGCACTGCAATGGCCATAACTTCAAGGACCAGGCATAAGTACCATTCATTCAGCACCATCGTAACTGAACAAATTATTGTTAAGCATGGACTACCTGTGTGCATCCCTAGAGGACAACGTTTCAGAAATAAAAGGTAGAAATATCTTTTCTTTGCTTGATTGAATTGTTAATTTTTATTTTATTTTTTTACTGTTTTCACAGGACATTATAACAAATGTTTCTCCAAGAATAATCCGTGGAACCACCATAGGTCCCATGTATGGTCCAGGCCAAGGTTCCTTCTTGAACATTGAGCTCATCAGTGAGAAAACAGCAGCCTATTGGTGCAGGAGTATTACTGAGCTGAAGTTAGACTTCCCTGACAAAGTAAGTCAGATTGAACTGCAAAGAAAGTTCACATGTCAGGTAGAGAGGATCAATAAATTTTTCAGAAAATTGGAAGTCGTTTGAAAGAACGATTGCTGCCCATAGGGTATATATTCATTCAGTTCACTGTTCTGATACACAGGCCTTTCAGCATTTTCTGTTTTTAAAAACCTGCAAATATGTTTGACCAGATGTGAAGGGGGATAAAGAAAATATTTATATACCCTGAGAAACAAAGCCTCTGCTCAACAGTAGCACAAAACTGCCCCTTTCTCTAGCATCTCTAGTTTACAGGTGCAATGCTTATCATGAGATAAATACTTATATATGTACTGTACTTCAGTGGAGCCATGAATTCATCTCAAAACTTTCATTATTAGAGAGAGAAATTTGTCTCTAAAATAGGGTAGATTTTTTTTGTTTTGTGTTATAAAATGCTATGGACAATTAGGATTTGCAGAAGCAGGTTTTGGCCAAGTCCCCATTTTTGGTGCCCTCCTTTGGGGAAATCTATACTACCAGATATGGTGTACTATTTTCAACAACAAAAACAAAACGTCCTTTCTAAACCTTGACTGAGTGAACAGAATGAATGAAGAATGACACTCTTGGCAGAAACAAGAGGCAAACAGGGTTGAAAATACAAGAGAATTATTAGCTAGTGATTACAATAAAGTAAATTACTGCAATATTGTAAATATTAAAAAGAAGAAAATTGATATATAATTGCTTTTGCATTGTAATGAGGCAGTTTAAACACTGAGTTCAAAAATTAATATTCTAGGAATTAAAGCCTTTGTTATTATTAAAGCAGTTGACAGTTCTTTTGGTTGAACTTTGGAATCAAAGGGATTTGTATTAAAATTATCCAAATTTTAACTGCATTATGTTTCAGTTTCAGAGAACCTTGACAGAAATTGAGCTGAGCAACAGTAAATGATAAAAAAAAGCATCAATTTATTTTCTGCAGGGTCTGAGTCCTGAATTAATTTCATTTTGTGTTTTAAATGCCTGATTCTTTGTTTTCTTCTTCTACATAAATATTTAGGTATACATGGATAAAGCATTGAAAAAAAACAATTTTAATGTAATTATATATATGGCTCCATCAGAATTCTTTAGTTTAGTTTTTTTTTTTGCACTGTTGAATTGATATGCATGTAAGCATTGATAAAGTATTGCAAAAGGGGGGAAATCATCTGATTACTAGTGTGAAAGACCTCTTCCTTGTATAAAGGAGTAAAGGACAGTGCAAATTTTTTTTCCTTTTTATTATATTGTTATAAATCTTAATACATTATATTGTTTCAGTACAATTATATTTGTACAGTATTAGTTAAAATATTGTATTGGCATTCTATTGTTTACATAACTATGAGTATTAAAATAAAGAAAAGAGAAATAAATATCAGTATTAATTACAATTTACGATATTGATATTACAAGCATAAAATTATTTGACCCCACACGAAACTATATATAACACTAGAAAAAAAGAAAGCTGCAGATTACATCAAAGTATTTGTTGTACAATTAAGGTTTTGATCTTGAGCTAGCTCTTAGTTTTGAAGCCTCCAATGTATAATGGAGATTTTATTTATACACACACACACACACACACACACACACACACACACAAACTTATATAAGAAAAAAGAAAAAAGATAAGATAGGCAAAACGAATTTAACAAGAATTTTGACTTATGTAGTCAAGTAGAATTGTGAATTTTATTTGGTTGGATTTTTTCCAAGTATTCATAAATTTGTTCCTAACAGAATGAGAAAAAGTTGTTT